CTGCTAATTCCGGTTTCCCTCATCATAGTAGTCACCTAGCAGGTCCTCTGCTCCCTTATGCCCTTTACATTATGGATATTCAGTATGTAAAGTCCTCAGTTTTGACCTTTTCTTATTTAGCTAGTTGCTCAAAACCACATGGAATAGTCTCCGAATTATCTTCACCTGCTATATCCCTGAGCTTTAAAGTATCAGAATGCATTTCATAGATCAGTGATTCTCAAACCGGTATATCGCTGGTATGAGGAAGCTACATTATCTCTGGACATGTACACATCCCAAATGACTCACAAGCTTGTCACTCCATGTACCTCTGTGTACCTAGGATAAGAACTCCCAGGATGATCCCAAAACCCTCAGGATAACCCACAGAAATTGGAAGCAGGAACATATGCAATATAGACATCTGGCTAGATATAATCAGAGAGAGACAAGAATTCGAGGTTAACATCACACGTTATACCACCCCCCACTCCCTCACACACACGCAGCAAGGCGGCTGCAGAGAAAAGGATCGCTAGATTGCAGATAGTTCAGTTGTTATACATATGGAACTAAATTTTCTTCAAAAATTGCTTTTTAATCTAGTGTGCCATTTTATTCGAGAGGAGATAAGGAACAGCTGCCTCTGTGTGGGAGACCCAGAGCTGTTAGAGAGCTGAGAGTTATTTCTGATACTGTCACCACTGCAGTCAGGTATGATACCTCCTTTAATCTTAGTGGTATTGAGCAAACTACGATTGGTTCTCCATGGCTAGAGCATACAAAACAACAAGTTAAGGGCAGTAAGAACTGACATATTCTATTAAAAGAAAAACCAAACCTGTGCAGCTATTGCTGATGGTGAGCTGTTTCTCAGCTCCATCTTCATGGTGCAAATCTACAATAGTGTTGGCAGGAAAGACTAAGAAGGGTTGAAGACCACCTGGTCACTAACTAGTTTATGGTTGTTTTGTTTGTTGTTAATTTTTTTTTAAAATATAATTAATTTCTGCATATGCCTCCATTGTTAGGAATTTCTTAGAGGGGGGAAAATAGGGTGTCAAACAGAAAGATTTTGCTATTTTAAAAGTAACTAACTCAATTGTTCCCCCACAATGCTGCTTTGGATCACACTTTCCTGCAATAACAGGAAATCAGAGAGAGTGCACAGAAGATATGCAGGCAAAAGAGACAGAATTGAATTCTGTCCAACTAGAAACATGAGTCCAACTCACTTTTTGAATATGATAGTCTTGGTTATGGTCATGTAATGTACAACTATCATATTGCACAGAAGGTGGTGAAGCTGGTGACTAGGGTGACAAGTGCTTGGGGCATGTATAGGGAGGTGTTAGAGAAGACAGCTACATTTGCAGCAAAGAACATTACAACAACTAAAATGCCAACATATATTCCTTTCTTAAAAGAATGCATAGAAGCATTCACCCCTCCTTGCTGAAGGATCAATAAGCATCCTCCGTACCACCATCAATCATTGCAGAGACAATACTGAGATGTTGACAGAAGAAAGAATGAAGGAGAAAAGAAGGAGCATGGGGAAGGAAGAAAGGGACAATTGAGAAACAGAATCTTGGTTAAATGCCAGCTGCAGTGACAAGAAAAGTAGAAAGCAACAAAAGGAGAATGGGCTAAGAACGGTCATGCCCTTCAGAGGACGAAATGACATTCTTTAATTGCTCAGGAGGTTTTCAAAATGAGGTGTCTACCTCCAGCAGAGTGAAGATTAATCTTCATGGAACAGTTTGTATGAGTTGTTATATGTTGGGAAGTACAATTTTAGGTGAAGTAGTTGATAGAATCAAATCAGTATTTCAAGCAAACAAGGGGAGTGAAATGTATTTACTGTGAGTTAAAATGATCCAGATTATTACACTGATGTCAGAGCTTTCAAAACTCTGTTATGGAGACACGTAATAGGCAAAAAACCATAATAGCTTCTTTGCTATTTTTCCTTCAGGGATAACAGCATGACTCGTTATTAACTGGCTTCCTTTTCCTGTTCAGATTGCTGTGAGATTTTGATTTAGTTTTCAAATGATTTAGGGAGATAAAAGGTTTTAGGGAGGTAAGGAGGCTTTTAATCTTTGTGGGCAGGGAATGGATAGTAAGTATAGTATTCTGGAATTAAGTTGTAGGTATTCTGCCAAAGCCTAGACAGATATGCAAACTGAGTCTCTTGCAAGGATCTAGTGAGACATACATGCACCTGAGAGCTACAGTCATGCTGAAGGAAGCTAACCCCACTGACAATTACAGGCCTTGTAGAAACACGATTGTAGAAACAGGGCCCAATACAAGTGCTTTTGTAGTTTGCTAGTGCACAAGTATTATCTGCATTTAAATTTTTAATTCAGACTGAGAAAATTTCAGTTACTCACCTGCCATGGAAATTTATTTATTTCCACTCCCCTCCCCCTATAATCACTTTCTTTGGTAAAGGAAGGAGAGACGCTTCTCCTCCCTCAGCACTCCCCTCCTCCCCCTTTAGCCAAGTAACTTTTAGCAGAATGCACCATGAAATGATTTGCTGATGAGGACGTAGCCACCACACTTATTTCATATAAGTATTTAGCATACAATAGAGCCAGGCAGGCAGCAATCCATAGACCTGCCACCAGAAAACCACTTAAAATGTATCCAATTAGCTATGTCAGAAATGCAATTAAAATGGCTATCCGCCCTTCTTAAAAGGAAGATTTGTGTGATTTTCCAGCTTTCTTCTTCACAAAAACTTAAATGCTGTAGTCCTCTAGTTTAACCATGCAGCTTGATGACTGGCTATGCCTCAGTTTCCAGAAGAGATGCAAGCATCTTGCAGTAAGTCACAAGAAAACCGGGACGTTAGGTCTGTGCTCAGTGAACCATAGAGATTTTCCATTTTTTACTTCATGGAATTCAAGGATCTGGCTAGAATATTTAAAACCGTTTGGTTTCTGACTGTTTAGAGAGCACTTCTCTTCCCGTACATAATTTCCTTCAGTCATAATTAGCATCACCAAAGAGTCCTCAAATCAAGATCAGCCTCCTGAAAACTAAAGGTTGGACCATTCTGATAGGGGACATTTAAGTTATATGTCCAGAGAAGTAGGCTGATGACCATCAGCATATGCTGTAAGTTATATGTTCTTACACAGGACATTCCTAATAACTGCAAAGGGTAAGGTCAGGTATCTTTTCTGATTTATTTTAGGTTGATGGGGATATTATTTCCTTTCTCATATTTTAATGTAAAAACAGTAATGCGTAAGCATTACTGAGACAGCTAAAGGAGGACAGATAGGAAAAACAACTTCATGAAAAATGTCTGGGGAGGATACTCCAGTCCAGCTACGTTATATTATCAAGCTGGTCATGCAGCAACTTGAAAGACAGACAAAAGGGTCGTACTGCAAATGGCCTGCCAATGCCTGAAAGCAATCATTTTAACTCTTGATAGACGAACATCTACTTTTTGAATGAAAACCTCTTAAGCACACATCCAGCAAGTGATCAAATGCATATGTAATCTAAAACCAAATCTCAGAGGTTCTAGATCATTCTCTGGCACTTTTATAATGCTATCATTATGGGTTTTTGCAGGTGACAAATAACAAACACTCATTTACAACTGCAGTGACAACGGTGTAAGAAGTTGTGTATTTTGTGTCAGAACATGCAAATGGCTCTTAAGGACTACAGTATACTAAATAAACACACACACAAAATTTACGTCCATAGTGAGGATGGATGAGGATAGTTCTCCTCAGATGGGAAACCATAGGATGAGCCATCAAATGAACCAGATTGTTTCTGACAGGGTTGGATAGATGTAGGTTCAATACGGCCTGAAGTCTACTCAAGGTCAAACTCTCAATTTAAACTTGAAGCAAATTCTTCTCCAGTGAGCCATAATCCTCATTCTGTTAAAATTCTTCTCAGTCCAGTGATGAAGGCTTTGATTGCTTTAATTCTGACCAAAATCCACTAACAGAAACTTCAGAAAAGGCTGTCAGGACCCATAGCAAAATTTAAGCCATTTCAGTTCTTTTGTTGGAAGGAGAGCTGCTGAACTGGGAGAGTAAGGAGGGGTGGGACTAGAGGAGTGAAATCGAAACAGTTTAACTATCTTCCAACAGTAACATAAGCAAACCAATTAAAAGGATTGTCATCCTGTAATTACCAGAGAGCTCTGTATTACAGAGAGAGCTGAAGCTTTGTTGCACAACAAACAGTCATGCTTGTAATTTAATATGAATAATGAGCCAGATGCATGAACAAGACTATTAAATTGTCATCACAAGCAGCCATGTCCCCCATTGATTAATGACTCCATGCGTCACCAAGGAAAGGAATTCCATTTTTAAGTATGGATCATCATCATCAATGTTGCCAAAGCAACGGGCTCTCTGCTTTTGACTTACCCCCGAATATGGCAATTAAACCATTATATGAGGAAACAAAACGGTGATTATTCTCTTATGTGGAAAACTGAAGGCTGTTAAAGAATAAGGGACTGAGGAAGCCAGATTTGTTTTCCAAGATAAATGCACCTGTGCAAGAACCACGTTCAAGGTCAGAGCACATTCTCAATATGAAATTAATCATGGTCTCCCCACACAGTTTCAAGATTTTATGATTAGCATCAAATTTGAATAGTTTCATACACTAGTAGAAACCCAGCAGAACCAACAGAAAGACATGAATAAAAAAACGGGTGTGAAAACCACTTATTTTTACAGTAAATAAAATCAACTTGCAGAAGGCATAGTTGAGTAAAAAACAAGTGAATTCTCTATACATGCTTTTAATAGAGTATTTATATAGAGAGAATATGTATGTGCATATACACAGATAGATGAATATACACTCTATGTGACTCATCCAAATATGTATGCTTGACCCTGTGTTTGGGGTTTTTTGCTGCTTTGTTGTTATTTGGGGTTTTTTTTTTTGTTAATGTAAGATTTATATAGAATGTTCTAACAAAAACAGCTACAACCTGGCTTCTTCCAACTTACAAGCTTCCCGGAGTTTTTCCTTGTCGTAATGTAGCCCCTCATATTCTTGTAAATTAATCCTGTTCACTCTGATCCGCAGGCGATCTGGGATGGAATGAGGACTGCAAGAAAAGAAGAAAGCTTCTTAGACGAAGTGTTCCATGGAAGAGCAAAATGAAAATAGGAAATGAAGTGATTTTAATCTTCTCTGAAAGAAGAAAAAGAGCAAGCCTCTTCAAAAGTGGGCCAACTCCTCACAGGCCCATTACTGTGTTAAAAATAACTATCCACGGCACAACAACATAGACATTAGACTGTAAATGACAAGCAAGATCAAGAAGCCCATTTGCTGGCTGCGTGGTCTGGAATTACAGCGGTTTTCCGGAGTTCTCCATTCTCTATATAGCTACCCCTCCCCTCTGCAGTTTGCCTTTTTATACATCTCTAGGGCCCTACCACAGCCAGTAGATCTGCCAAGCTGTGTTTCAGGACACAGATGCTTTCTTGGGAAGTCTTTCAGGAAAACCATTCCTCTGCCCATGAGAACATCCACAGTCATATCCCTGGAGGATCCTCATTCAGCATCTCTGTTCTGGGAAACAGGCAACAGAAACGTGGCTAAAAAATGGATTTCCACAGTAGTGAGTCCAATACACAGAACCCAGGAGGACTTTCAAAAGCAAGTAGCAGCACAGGAACCTCATTTCTATAGATTTCAGCCAGATTGAGATTCCTCAACTGTGTATATAATTTTGGAACACTCAGTGGGTCCCTCTCTATAAATTTAAGTGTCCATACATTGATAAAAAGCTGTCCTGAAAAGCTTTGTTTTGATTTCATGCTGGCTTACACCTTACTGTAACCTATTATTTGATTTTGTAAATTTAGCTGAATGCTACGTAAATTAACTTGGCCACATTTGCATTTTCCACTTTTAAAGAAAGACAGATAACCTATGTATTATAATGCATATATCAAATGTCTGTCCTGTAAGAACTGGCCCCTGGCGCAGTTAAGTGCTTCCACAAAAGACCGTCTATTTTTTCTGTTTTAGTCTAGTTAGTAACAGAACTCTGCCAGCGGTATGACCACCGAATACACACACTGCCTTTTAAAAGTTGAAATACTGTGCACTGTCGTAAATATACACGCTTACTTTTTTCTTTGTCTCAGTTTTAAGAGATTTGACTCACAGCATTTGCACTGCTAGTTTAAACGCCAATCAGAACAAGCCACATCTCAAAAATGTAAAGTTTTTCTTTCTTTTTAAAGAAGAGAGCAATTTTCTTTTTGACCTGAAAATACAGCAGACCTGACAAAACACATGGTTTATGGCCATCTTTTGGTACAGCCCCTGGGATGGCAATTAGCAATTATTTCAGTGTTAGCTTATTGCATGCTTTCTCTCTGTTGCTATAAACAACTTTGTCACATTTGGACAGATGAAAATAAAGATTGAAAATCAAGTCCCAGTTAAAAAAAAAAAAAACTCTATTGGAACAAATATTCTTTGCCTAAAAAGTGATAAAGGATAATGAATTGAGGGTGCCGCCAAAACTGGAGTGTAAGACAACATGCTAGAAGGAGTTGCACTGAAGAAATTCATGTTCTGAACAGGAGTTTCTACATTAATGATGAAAATAAATGTAAGTAAGATACATGAAGAATAGCTTAGAAGAAATCAAAAATGCTTAACAGTGGCAGCAAGACTGACACACTCAGAAACATACAGGCTGCCCAATGTTCTTCCTGTGCTGATTAACAGGGATTATTGCATCAAAGTGCCCCAAGATATCAGCAAACCACCCATATTTAAGATAAGCTTTTGCAGTTTGATAACAGACACCTGGGATGGTAACTTCCAGCACAGCTTCAGGGGGCAGCTTTCTAACTCAGGTGCCCATATGTCATCTTCCAGAACAGCACTCTCCACCTGCAGGCTCTACAGCTAGCTCAGCAACCCAGAGAAGATGAGTGCATGCAAATGGAGGGGAAAGGTGCATAGATGGAACAAGAACATAATTGCACTGAGTCTGACACTTTTGTGTTTCTTTCTTTTTTTTTTAAGACAATATTAAATGTCACCTCGCTGGCTGAGAAATGAACATAGTCTGAGGAACTATGTTCCCTTCCAAATTCTATAAAATGCAAGTTCAAAAATGAAAATCATAGGAGATTTTATTTTTAGCCAAGAAAAGACAAGAAAATGTGTAAGTCAGAAAACATAGGAATTTAACTGCATAGTCTTTGTCTGAGCGGAGAAAAGAAATAATCTACCGCATGTAGTAGAGTTCATGAAAATGACAGACTGACAGCTCTGAAAAGTGAAGTTTTTTATGCACTGGTACAATATGGAAAGAAGCTACGTTGCTTTTCCCATAATGTTCTGCCACGGCGCATTATGATGAAGGTAGCTCAGTCTTCCAGCCGATCGGTTCACAACCTGAGAGTTGTTGGTGGGTGTGGGGAAGGGACTGCTTGTGAATTACCTCTACTTCTTTGAACTCAGCTGGAAGGAAAAGAGGGGGGAGACAGGAGAATTCAGCAACTTCTGATTTCTGTTGTAACACTCAACCATGCCACAAAGACAGCCATCCTTGCTATTGTGCTGAATTAAGCCAAGTGTAAACCCAACCCAAAAAAATGTCTCAAACTGTTGTTTCTCCTGAAACCAGAAACAAATCTGTACTGCTGTGTGGAAATCTTTCAGCAACCCAAGCTGGAACTCTACAAAAAAAAATATGCTTTCCAATCCCCAGTTCAAAATAACCACTTGACCAAAAGCTGATCCTCCTGCACAGAAATTACTCAGTCCAGCACAAGGGATATTTGCCCTCCAAACCAGAACCACGCCATAGCCGCCCCCCTACTTGCTCTTTTCCATTTCTTCCTTGCTCATCCGTGTTTGATACTCAGACCCTCCCTTCCACTCTGTGATCCTGTGCTGTAGTGTCCACTGCTGCTCCCCATACTAGAGGGAAAACAGTTTAGTACAGGAACTTTGCATCTTCCCAAGGTAAACTGTATTTTTAACTCCTAATAGAAGATCACCAACTCCTTTTTCTCCTTGATTTATCCTTTTAGATCTTCCATAGCAGATATCTGAGTGATACTTGTCTTTCAGCCACCCATTGCATCCCATCAGTCTGGCTTCCCCAGCAACCTACCGGTGTCCTTCATTATTAAGAGATGAATATGTTTACGTATTTTTGTACCTCTGCACTGTCTGTGCAGAATTTACTACAGCTATGAGATTTTTAATATTTCCCACTCACAATTTCACTTCCTCTCCTTCCACACACTGGCCTTTCCCATGTTCCTTAGAGCATGGCAGGACAGGATTGTGCCTGATAGAGGCAATGGGAGATAAGCCATGTTCTACTACGGGAAATACTGGGGACAGGGCAGGTGATCCTCTCCCCAGCTTCCAAGTCTCCCTGTGAGCTTGTCTCAGTCATGCAATTGTTTCCATCTGCAGATGTTGAGGTGAAACAACTCAAGAAAGCCTGGGGTCACTAAAAAAACCACAACTGTTAATGAACAATTTTTTGTCTGATCAGAACAACCACCATTGAATCAGAAGTTATTTTAAAAGTTGCTGTTTCAATATTTCTGTTTGGTACTTATATGTAACTATCATGTTTGAGTTTTCAGAAATGATAATTTTTTCTATGGTCCCTGGTTTAGATAAGAAAGAGGAAGGAAAAAAAAAAAAAGGAGTGATGTAGCCAAGTTCACACACCTAATCTTTGACAGAGGCAAGAATTCAACAGAATTCTCCAGCACAAAATTCACTCCCTTATTCCCAAGGCCATCTACCCATTCTTCCCCAAGGCTACCTTCATTAGGGTAAAAGTTAGGTTCTCAGTAACAGGACAGTGATTTTTTGTGTTGCTTTTTTCCCCAGAGTCCCACCAAGATTTTCTACTTGTCGCTGAAAATGGAACACCTGAAAATATTTGGATGATTGTCTGAATAGTTATTATTACAAATAATTCTAATAACTGTCTATATTCTCTACTAAGATTTTTTTTAAATTATCATCCAGACCCAAGACTTTTTTGTTCTCTGGGAAGATAATGTAAGATAAATCAGCAGAACTATCTTCCTTTTATAGTGCTTTGCTTGTTCCAACTCATTTGGCATAAAAATACTAGGAAAGCTGTGTAAAAGCAGTTACAGTAGTGCTTTTTGCTTCTCAGTATCTAAGCACTAGTTCAAATGTGAACTTTCTTGGCAACCATTATCAATGAATCAGTGGTAGACTTATGTCCTACCACACAACTGGCCTCATTTCAAACACATCATCGCAATGGATAATCTGGTTATCTCATGAAAGCGGGAGAGGAAAGGAAGACAGGGAAACAGAACAGCTTCTCCAAGTGTATGTTTGGAGCCTTTATGTCAAGGTGAAGGGTTGGTCGTGTTGACCCTACATTCAGTGCTCAAGAAGACCTGCAAATAGGGGAGGAGGGGAACGTTAAGCCTCATGCCAATATCTGCCAATCCTTAGTTAATTACCATGTGTCTCCCTGCAACCTCCCTGAGAGGACAAAATAGTGTTTGGACACCAAGGGGAGAGAAAGATAACACTGACTTCTGTAGCTATGCTGACTCACTACCTAATGCCACGTAAGAAAGGAAAACATGCACCTTCTCTTTACAAACGTTATTTCCTGGCTTGAAGCCGGTGACAACCTATTGCAGCACCTTCTTGAGTCAAATTAGTCCTTTCATCTGAAAAGCAGAAGTGAGCAAGCCCTTTTTATTTGCTTGGAGGAGGAAAACGATCTAAAATCAACAGCAAATCTAAAATATTTTTGTTGCTCCCGGAGCCACACAGACTCTCCAAAAGCACCTTTTAACTAGAAAATATCTAAGAGGAAACTTCCCATGCTTTTGTAAAACATATAATTTTTTGGTATATCAGTGCACTGTATATCTCCAAATTTGCTTCTATGGAAAAAACAAGCACACCATCTTAAATGTAATGTATTACCTGAGGAGAAATAGTTTCTTTCCAGGTCACGTGTGGGAGGGTAATCAGCTGGCAGGTATCAGAGTTTCCTGTTCTCCTGTCTCCTGTTCACCCCCTTTCTATAAAGACATGGAACTACTACTA